TTCTCCCCCGGGAAGTTCGCCACCAAGTAGCTCATCACCAAGGCACGTCACCACCAGGTCAAACACGAGGTACTTAGCCAAAAAAATTTTACACATCCCAAAAAATGGTACGTGACCAAAAACGGTTACATCACTACCCATACCGGTATGTGTTGTAAAATCCCAAAACAGATCTCCATCTCAAAATTAATCTAATTTTCCAAACAAAAAAAGCCCTCCCCATTTGAGCAGGTAGAGGCGGATATTATGTTCCAATCTCACTTTAAGAATAAGGACATCCACCCAAAAGATTTGGGATTGCTTTTGTTCTCCCTGGATCAATCCGGTTGCTCACATCTGACCCAGGTCAAGGGTCGAAAGCATCTGGTTGGCTGCCAGTTCTGACTGATATGGTTCCACTCTTCCAGTCTGATCAAAGTTTTTAATACAATTTTTTCAAGTTACTGAAAGCCATGAAACTATTCATTAATACGTAATCAGATTTTGTATGATTATACCATCTGGAGATACTTGCGCAGATGACCAAATTTGTGCTTGATTACAGCGAGCCGATTTATTTATGTGCTGCGACTGGTCCCTCCATTAACAAGCTAGGAGTCTGAATGTGTGATTCAAGGAGACAAAACCAGTGATGCAGTAAGAATTCAGTGAACTTAATTAGCTATAGAATGATCTATTTCTCTATGACTTGAGCCTCTGCATTATATATATCCAGCTGGTTACATTAGTAGGATTATTAGTTCAGTGGCCTGTTTGATAAATAAGCCTAATGTAGTTAATTAGTAGTTGCCCCTCGTTTGGTGTCTGGTCTTTAACTCTTTATAGAGGCAAGCATTAAATTATGAGTCTTTTATTTCTTGTACAAAAGCTAAAGAAAGGGTTTCTCCAAGTTAAAACTAGGAGCTGATCATTTACAGTTTTCATTTACAGAGGCATTATCATTCTTATTCCCACTGTCGTAATATTTACTTGAACATGTAAATAGTAGCATACTTATGGTGCCAGAGGAGGCCAGAAGCCAATAGTACTTGTCTAGCCGGGCTTCTCTCATGTCATCTGACAACCAGCTATGCCCTCCTCTCGCACTTGTGACTATCTCAATGACGGAGATGAGAAGGGCGCTCAGGAAGCTTCCCACTCCAAAAACACTAAAATACAGACCGACCCCCATGGTTCTGATTCTACTAGGCACTTGGGTGTAAAAGAACTCTTGCATCCCGACCACCGTGAAAACGTCTGAAACGCCCAGGAGTATGTACTGAGGTAGCAACCAGAAGATGCTTAATGGCACTACTACTACTACTGTTTCTGATTCAAGAACCCCCGGCGATCTGCTAATCTCGAGCCTCTTCGCTTCGACAACTGCTGCTGTGACCATTGCGATGACAGAGAGAAACATTCCAATTCCCATCCTTTGCATCACAGTGATGCCTTTGTCATCTCTAGTGACAAACCGCATCATGGGGATGATCATCTTGTCGTATAAAGGCATTAGGAGAATTATAGAGATGGTTATGGCGCTCTGTAGTGTTGCAGGAGGGATTATGAAGCTTTTTCCGATTTTCCTCTTCATTGTCATCCCTTGTTTGGTGAAGAATGTGGATGGCAGTTGGAATATAACTGCAAACGCTAGGAGCATCACCCATATGGGTAAGAGCCTCACTACTGCTCTTGCATCGTCCATCAAATGCGCCTCTTTTTTATCAAAGCTTCCGGGGCTATCAACCTCTTGGTTGCACAGCGGCTTCCCTTGTAGCCTAAAGACAAGCAAATGTTGGATTAGCTTCCTCCTATAATTTGGAATCTTTTTTATCACTCTACAACTACAAACAGGAGTTAAATGGTGTTAATATAATTAATACACAGTATTGCTCCTAAGAGTGTGGACCGGTTTTGGATTGGACCCCGTCCAGTCCAAAATCAATTTGGACGGATTAGACGGGCCAACAACGCATATTAGATTGGACCAATCCAGTCTAAAATATTTATTAGATTGGATTAGACCCGGTTAGTCCGTAATAAATTTATATTGATTGGATTGGATTAAGCCAATATCTGGTCCATTAGAATATAAGTGTCAATGGACTAGGTTTGGATTGAAACCAATCTAAATCAAAACGAATTCCAACAGATTGAATGGTCCAGACATTGAATTGGACCTAATCCATTTATAATGGACTCAAATTGGACTGGATCGGATTGGACCAAATCCAGTCCAATTGACACCCCTAATTGATCCTACCTAGCTACATCCCATATGAGTGTATAATATTAGAGACGTGTCCTTTTTTACAATTTTGCTAAAGTTTCTGTATTTTATCTATTTTTATATATTATTAAATTAATGATATTATGACTCGTTTGACTTGAACTGTTGAATCTGACTCACCACCTGAATAGGAATGAGGTTTTGTTTAATTCTGGTTGAATAGTACCCACAACCTATCCAAACCCAGCCATTTAACCATATCCAATGGGCTATCCCATCTCCAACGTAACCCGCTAAGAAAATGGGCAGATTATAAATGGGTGGATTAGTTGGGTTCATCCTGTACCGTTAATAGGTCAAGCATGTCATACAAAGCCCTTTTGGACAGGTTGGACAGACCAATAAAACACATTGAATTGGACCCGTAGAGACTCAATGGTCCTAACTATTTATTTATTTATTTAGATTGGATTGGACCTGGTCCTTCCTTGATGGATTTATATGGGACTGAACCAATATCCGGTCCATTAATGGAAGATAAGAACGACCAGGTGTAGGTGTGGGTTGGAACCAATCTAAATTAAAACCAATTTGACAGATTAGATTAGATGGATCAGACAATTGGACGGGATTGGATTGGACTCATATTGGAGTGGTCCAGAATATCTGTAATAGACTCATATTGGACGGGATTGGATTGGACCAAATCCGGTCCATAATTGATCACACCCCTACTAACTAGGTGTACTTGGTGTAGAAAACTGAAAACCTCGATCCAGAAATAGAAGAATTAAAACTTACTCAAGCTCGGCAGCATCAGATTCTTTGCTGGTTAAAGTGATGCTGCCATTCACCATCTTTGACACAGTTGCTTTGATGGATTGGATGATAGTTTCAAGTTTGTTCTTGTCTCCGCCATTTGGCTGCTGCTTATATATGTAGAATCGAGTTCCAGTAGAGAAACACGCAATGGATAATACCATTGCAACTGTAGGGATGGCGAATCCCAACCCCCAACCAATTGTGTCCTGAATGTAGGACATGAGAGAAACACCCAACAGGCTGCCACTACAAATTCCAAAATACCACCATTGGAAGAACGGGCTCTTCTTGCTGTCACAACTCTGGTCGTCGTCGCTTGTACAAGACAAGTCATCATCATCGTTTTCCGGTTGGTCCGCTGCGAAGGCTTGTAAGCATGGGTTATATCCTCCTTGGCCAACTGAAATCAAATAGAGAGACCAATAGAGCGATGCAGAAGAGCTTGTCTTGCTCCTGGGTATCCATGCTGAAATGAGTGCTGTTGATGTTAAAACCACAAGCCCCTTGATGAGGAAGAGGCAATAAGGAGGGGAAAACATGGTTAATCGGAGCTAGCGATGCAGAAGAGGTCGATCTTGTAGTACTAATTAAGTATGGGATTGAGATTACAAAGTAGTACTACTGATCAGTAGAGATGAAAAGGGTACAATAATTAAGAAACTCACCACAACATAGAGGAAAGAAGAAACCAGGATGGTGGAATATCGATCCAAATATGAGTCTGCAAGCAGTGCGCCCAAGAGGGGCAGCATGGATGTAACCCCACACCAGCTGTTAATGGTCTTGGCCGCGGACGAGTTGCTCAACTTCACTACTTCTGTTAAGTAAGTTACCAGGTTTGACGCCACCCCCTTGAAGGCGAACCTCTCCAAACCAGCTACCACTGTAATCAATAAAACAACTCTTCAATCCAGCAAAACGAACAGAGTTGTCGACACTGAATATTTATATATATATATATATATATATATTAGCAGCAAGAGACTATATAAAATATATATAGTTGTTACCTATGAGAAGAATACACTGTTTTCTGAGTCGTCTGGATCCCACACCTCCGGCCATGAGAAAGAGACCTACGTGCTTAGTTATCAACAAAATTTTTTTTGGGGGGACGAAGATCTTAACTAGTATTCAAAATTAAAGGCTAGACACCTCCTTTCATGCTATCGCTATCGCGTCAAGACGATAATTTTCTGAAATTAATCTCTGTCACCTTCATCATGAAAACTCTTTTCTGGGTCTGTGTCTGTCTTTTAAATTAACTGATCGGAAGACACTTTATACATTTAATTACACCTAGTTAGGAGGGAGGAGACACACATTAGGCTATGTTGATGAGTATGATCACATTATGTGATATGTATATAGTTGCTTGCTCTGATGAAGGTGGCAACACAAACCTTTTCCATAATATCTACCCAAAAAAGCCAAAAAGAAGTGGTTTGCTTTATGAGAATATTTGCGATCAGTGCTCCAAAAAAGATGGGTGCTTCTCTTCAACTGAAACAAATTTGTCATTGGCAGTGAAGATTTGCAAAATAGACCGACGTATAATAACTATAGAAAAACTGGATATACATAGACGTAATGAGTGCGGTCTTCTCTTAAATTGACTCTAGTTTTGTCTTAAGTACGTTGAATTTGTAGCGTAGTTATACATAAACAGATAAACTTGACAACATAATGGCATTATCCCAAGTTACTTTTTCCTCTTTTCCTTGATCATTTCATCCACCAGATTGCCAGAAAATGAAAAGGGTATCCAGTACTGAAGATTAAATAGTCCTTCCAAGCACGGAAAAAGAAACAGAAAATGTCAGCATATGATCTATGGACCCCGTCTTGATGGTTTGCTGAGGCGGATTTCACTTTGTTTTGCTTTTTTGTTTTCTGATTTTGTTGCTAGCAAAGATGGTTTTGTTGACACGCCAGCAAGATACACTAAACCAAAACCAGTGCGTTATCTAACTTCTTTTTTATTTTCCAAACGGTGATTCTTGTCTAATTAATTTGTTCTTTCCTTTTTCAAGTAATTGTTTCTAAAAGTGCTTATGGCTTTAAACGGGACTGAGTTGTAAGTGGAGATCTACGGAGCTTAGTGGTTAGTGCGAGATTGTATTACGTTACAGTGGAATTATTTGTACTGCACTGACCTCAGTGCCCAGAAGGCCAGAGCTCCTGTGTTGAGTGCCTTCCAACCTCGATTCTACGGATTTGCTTTTATAAAGTTTGGATTGTGATTTCAATCGCCCGCCATATTATAATATAAATTAATACTATAAAGTTAGAAGACAAACTCTTGAATTATTTTACAGTTTCATGATCAAGGGTGATGAGGGCAGATTATTTCCTCTAGTTACAGCGCGCCCATGTGGCGAATACAGAATTGTTGCATGACACTCCGATACCATGTAGACGATGACTTGTTTTAGTCAAAATGATGGAAAATTATTGGAACCACATTAGATGTGTCTGGCACACCTTGAGAGTATTTCATCACCACCTCGCCATGGCTGATTTATAGACATCTCATCAAGATTGGGATGACCACCTTAGGACCAAGCTTGAGATCTCGGCATGAAGGGAGACCTCCCACTAAAGTCTCACCGACCAGATTGAGGCCCAGGTAGCAACCTGCATGACGTGGTGGTCAACCTACCTACACCTCTACCGACCTGATAGAAACCCAACTAGCGACCTACCTCCGCCAATCTAACAGAGACTCAGTTAGCGACCTACCTCCGCCGACCTGACGACGTAAAATCTTGATAGGACTAGGTCGGCAGAAGAGTCGACTTACTTCAGTTGGCCAAGCTAGGGACCTCAGCATTAGGGGCGACCTCTCCCGAGACCCTACCGACCCTACTGATTTGGAGTGTTAAAACTTAAAAGATCTACCATGCATGTTCCAGAGTAAGGGCCCGTTTGGTGTGTTTTTTTTAGAAGATCTTGTGGTAGTTCTGACATGTAAAAGACATATTGAACTTTTGCATGAAGATCTGAACAGCCCGAAGCATGTTTGGCAGACGTGCGTCTTTCCACATGAGATTAAAACACAAAAGACACAAGAATCTTCATTTAGAGCTTTCCGAAATCAGTCCAAAATGGACTTCTCATATCTTTTTGATATTCTGTCTTTTGACGGCTAGATCTTCCGTGTACCAAATAGAAATAGACCAAAAATCGATTTTCACAACTTGTAAATAATTGAAAAACTGCACGAAAGACAAAGACCCTAAGTCTAAGTCTAGAGATAAAATGGACAAGTCCATAAGCAATGGGTCATGCAGTTTTTTGGTTGTTTGGAAATCTCCTACGATACGTAGATTCTGTAATGACTTTTAAAACCAAGATACCTGAAAGAAAAGTCCATTGATTGATTAACTACCTCCTCTGGTCGTTGAAACTTAAGCCCAATATTAAGGAGGGAAAGGAATCTCGAATTAATGAATATAGTGTAAGGTCTACGTCGTTGAAAGATGATGGCCAAAAATCTGCAACCACAATAATTAACTAGGAAAACGCTGCTTTATGTTCATAACTTCATATACAAGGAAAGCCAACAGATTCGTGTACTTCCTTTACAGATTCCAAGCTTCAACTATTAAAAGAAGGGGGCTCGGGAGGGGCCATCTTGTGTATCTTGCTCCAAATCCATCAATGGTCTAATCCAACTTATTTTGTTTGGGCTGGGTTGAGCATTTGTTAAATTTTCAATGGGCCTAAAACTCTTGTCGAAGCTCCGTGTTTCAAATTAAATTGATGGAACTTTTTTAACACTTGGATTTCTTATTCACTTTCTATCCGGGGTAAATTGGAGTCACATTCATTTTCTATCTGCTGAAAATTGGAGTCATACATCTTTATTATGAATTAAGAGATGTGTGATTGAAATTCAGGACGATAGCAGGTAAAGAGTGGATAGGAAAAGTGAATAAAAAATCTGAACTCCTTCAACCTTAATAAAATTAGTGATAAGTCCTAATTAATGATACGTAGAAGCCAAAAAATCAGGACATGAAGACCAAGTAAAACAAGAATGAACAAAACAATTTGGTTGAGCAAGAACATGAATCGAGGAATTTGCACTGAAGCCATTCAGCTGCAGTCCACAATGAGAGTGCGGATTCACCAGGGAGGCTCAACACTCAACAGAGCTATTGCTTCAAATCGGGCAACCCAGCATGCAGCAAGTTCTATTGTACGGGTGGCATTATCAAATTTCTATCGATTACTTACGACTTCATAACAGACTTCCATGATATATTCAATATGGAAGTTAGCCAACAAAATTAACAGATCTTCAAATCCTTGGCTATGCACTCATTATACATTTTTTTTTTCACACACTCGCTGTATTTGTATTTGAAGGGCGGGCCTTGGCGCAACAATTGGGTTGCTTCATTGAAATCTATGTGATCAGGTTCCAATAGCCTCTCTCTATATATGTAGGGGTGAGATTGCATACATCTATCCTTCCCCATACCCCACAGTGTCTAGACCCACTTACAATGGGCTCGAATTTCTCGATTCGAGCCACTATGGTGATTGACATTGATGATGATTTCATAGAAATCGACGCTACATGGGATCCACATCAGAATTTGAAGGATCAGTGTTTTTTTCTTGTTTGGTTGTTCGATTATGCCAATTTCTGGGAAATCAGCCAAAATTTGATTATTGAAATCAGCCATTTTTAGTGATCACCTTTTCTAGTGATTTCCTGATTTTAAACTGATTCTGATTTTTTGAAGGTGATATGGCATTGAATAATAACTCTAATACAAAAATAATTGGCCCTTGAAAATCAGTATCAAACATATTCAAAGTCGATTTCTCAAAAATTAGCTTACATGGCATAAATGATGAAACAATAATTTTGATGATTTTCAAAAATCACTGATTCCAAAAATTGCCTGAATAATTGGAAAGGAGAAATCATCATCATTGCCAAACATCACCTATGTCTCTTCTAGCTAGGAAAGGATTTTTGGATTGGAAATCTATCTCATTGCATGACATATATCATGGTCACTCACAAAATATCATGAGAAGATGATGATGATAAAATTGTGGCTATGCAAATCAAGGTTTTTAAAACCGACCCGGAGAACGAACCGGTCAGGGGTCTGGTTCCTGGGTCGAATGGTCTAACCGTTTGAACCGAATAGTTGGCCCATTCTGGAAAAAAAAAATGATCAAAACTGTTTGAATGGTTAACCGTCTGGGTCAGCGGTTTGCTGACCAAAATCAACGATTTTTGGGAAAAACAGAATCGGTCACCTGACTGGTTCCCACTTTTTTCGGTCCGGTTTTGAAAACCATGATGCAAATCAACGATTTCAATGGATCTCTCTTACTACCATCCAAGTATTAAAGGTTTTATTTGACAGAAAAATACGGTTTATGTGTGGTCTTGTGATATAAGTATGCTTATGAAAGGGTAATTGGAATGAGCCTGAGCCCTGAGGATTACCTTTACCTTGGTATCTTCTTCTCCATCGCCCCAGTATCGGCCCATCCGTCCTTGATTAGCTTAGCTTAGCTATTTTGGATGAAGCCATATTTCCTACTCACAATTCGCAGTAGATAGGAAAAGTGAAAATTCCGTTTGATTTTGGAAGCCCACTTCCGCATTCAAGGTCATCAAGGATGTCTCCTCCTCCAAGATCCAACTCTCATAACTAGGAATGGCAACAAGGCAGCTGGGGCTTTGTTTTGCATCCCCCAGCCCATCTTTGCCCCAAACCACACTAGGGCTAGAAATCCTAACCTCCCCTATCCCCATGGGGAATGGTATAATATATATTAGCAGTTCTATATATACACACACACACACATATATATGTGTGTGTGTGATATAATATAGTTGGGATAGATTTTGGGTTGGGATCAGAGCGGGGTGGAAAAATACCATCATTGCCCCATCCCTAGTACCCAAAATCTCAGATTTTTTCTAAAACCTACCCTTAACCTTGATCAATGGTCCAAAAACCCACCCCAATTATGTGATATCATTAATACAAAACTAATTTTTTTCTTCCTTTTGGTAGACTGGTAATTAAGCACATGTGTCGCACGTGAGAATTTTTTCTTCATATTAATTACTTCAATTTTAGATATATCATAGTCAAGGTAGAAATTGAAAATTAACAAAAGTAACAATATGATTAAAAATAAACTTAAATGCTTGTAGCAAATAGCAATTATTATTATTTTTTTTATTATTATTATTATTAAATTGTGTATTCTATTTATGTCATAAATAAAAATTACTTTTATTTTAACAATTATTTTTATTTAATATGAT